CAGAAAGGACTATGTGTATACTTGAGCAAATGAACACGAAACTGGCAAATGCGGTAACGAAGTTAACGTGGTTGTTACGATGTTTGACTGAAATTGTTCGGTCATTACAGGAAATGACTGAAATGGTTAGTCAAACGTTGTAATCAACAACCAAACTGTGACGGTGTTTGAAGGCAATACGGGGACTGACTAAGCATTTCAGGGAATTACGGATTTCAGCGTTTGACGCCGACATATACATACAGAAATCAAAATCAATAAACTCTATTCACCTGCACAAAAATCCAATATGGCATACATAAGAAAAAATAAACTATGTGATTGAGGATCAGAGACGAAACGTCATATTAAAGTACTAATTAGGCCATCTTGTATAGTAGATGAAGTGCCGATGCTAACCAAACTTTATTGAAATAACATCTCAAATAAGGCCAGGATAGAATAAAAACGATTTTGATGAATTCAGCTTTCCCGTCTCTATCCAGAAACGCTCGGAATCGCGAACCTTTCCGAGTGACATTTTCATAGTTCAATCGATCGCAGCGGACGATCGTGACTAATCCAATCACAGAAAATTCAACCGAACCATTTTAGAAGCCTGGTAAATACCAAATCTCATCCGACTATATTTTTGATGCATTCAAAATGAAAAAATATTGACTTGGCAATCTTGCATGTAACACCATGTAGTACGAATATAACTGGCGACCGAGTCAATTTAGCAATGCAGACATGGGTTCGTTGCCACTGAACTGATTTGAGGTCTCCTGCTCATCCCGTTTTAATGGCGTGTGGATGTGTCCATTTTATTTCGGGAACATCAAAGTGTGTGTAGTCCAGGTCATTTCTGGGTCCCGCATCCCGAGTTCGTCACTGGCGAATATCCTGTTACGACATACATGAATTAATGGTCTCCTTGTTTGTTGAGCATTTTTTATCGTTATCAGTTAACATGTCGGCTCGCACAGATGGCAAAATATACCATAGGTGATAGAAACAATGGGCTTGTTGAACAAATTTATATTGTTTTGTTATTTGATAGTATAGAAACGGCTAATAATGGCTTCTTTTCAAGCTGAGATCAGGCCTAGACCATGCTGACGAGTTGTCAAATAGGCCGAAACAGCTCTTCAAAATTGGCCGTCTGTGGTCGGACGAACAAAGCTATATCATTAGTTTGTGCAACCTCGAGTAGACCGTATCTACTATAATGCTGAAATAGAAGCCTGAGTACCGGGGTAGCACCGCAGCTGCTTTGTTAATTTGATTTTTGAACCGACCAAGCAGATTTGGGAAGAGCCTCTTCAGGCAGATTCAATCTTGACGCGCTAGTCGGGGCGGCAGCACCCCGAACATGTGAACAGTACTCGAGGCTACGTCTTATCTGAGGTTATATGGCAAGAAGTACTTCTTAGCCCTTAGCCCTCATTGCTATTATTAAATATCAGACAGGAGATCTCATTGTTCTGGGATGAGTACTAACCCAGAGTTTGTTACACTACTACTATTTCTGGCTATATTTAGGATGTATAAACACAGAAGCAATACTTCAAGGTGCCTTGCCTCCCAAGTATATGAAACTATTTACTTTATTCATTTTAAATCTAATGCACCTATAATACGGGTAAGGCAATTATAGAAATGAGCTAGATATATCTAATATAGTCAAGGATATAGTATGTTATCTACTGTCAGTCATATTTTTGGATGCTCTTACTATCTAAAAGAAAAGCTCTTGCATCAACAGACTGCCGACTTTTTGAATTACTCACCATGTTGCGATCATTTTGAAAATGGCTTGCAATCGACTGATTTATCTGGAGTTGGACATCAAGAGGAAAAAGTCACGTAAACTGTAGCTTCAAGTGCACTTTGTCCAAACGGATTTGCTATTTAAAATTAGCAACGCTTCAAAGTAGATCATTGGATATATAATAACTTGCTTACATTAGCTATTATACAGGGTGTCCAAAGGGTATAGACACATCAGAATACCTCGAAAATAACGTTTGCTAGAGAACAATAATCATCATGACCACGAACTTCAAGGTCATTTGGAATGAAAACCCCTACTCACGATACTGGGAATGTAAAAAACGGAAAATTTTACGTCCAAGTGTGCCTTATCTGATGATCTTGACCATGGCCATTGGTATTTAGGTCTGTTCAAAAACTGTGGAAAAGAGTAAATATCTGGAAGCATATGTTTCCTAGAGAAAATGTGGCAAAACAAAGATGTTTGAAAGGCGTCAACGCATGGTGATCTTGAACATGGACTTGACTATGACCTTTAAGGTATTTTGAAGACGAAGATAGTTGTCTTAAACAGAATACCTTATTTTTGGTGCCTGAAATGTAAAGAGCAGGAAAAGTATGCCTATGACCTTGATTTGACCATTAAGCTCGATCCTGATCATCCAAAGTTCAGATATATCTTTAAACAAGGGGAGACATAAAAAAGCGAAATATTTTACGGTCAAGATCATTATCATGTACTCGACCGCCACCTTGACTATCACTTTTAAGGTCACTTGAAGGTCAAATGAGTTTTTTTAACGAGATACTCCTATTCTTGCTTTCACAACAGTAATTTCACGTCTCGCGATATCATCGTGAAACGTTTATAATCTTGGTCAAATTCACGTGCAATGTCACACTAGATGGCTATTTTTAAGCCCTGCAACTTTGTTCTACAAACGTTTCATGTAGGTATCACATTTTGAAAATCATATGAATCGTTCAGAAAGATGTAAGACCATTATTTCAAAATAATTTTTATTGATCAAAGAGTAATGACAATACCGTTCATATCTACATATGGAGCAAACCTCTTGACACTGGAATACCGCACCTGTGATAACCAAATACATAATTCAATTCGTTGTATATTCATGGTCAACTGAACTTCACAAGCAAGTTAGTATAACCGTGTATGCACATATGTGGATGAAAATCATGTGAACGGTGCATCAATATTATTTTATATCGAAAATTGTATTTCTATGAATAAATATACTGCGATTGCTCATTGAATTGCGTTTTTAGTATAGAATTGTACCCAGTGGCGCATTTTGGTGATTAATTTCCATCGTATCATTTATTTTCGGTTACTTTTCAAGAACATCTACCATTTTATACTAGTTATGTGATACATTGGATACTAAATAACCTTTTATGATATCTCGATTAAAAGAGCACCAGAATACAACACTCACACTTGTCTTACTTCCTAAAAAATTTAGTAAATGAGATTATATGCTTTTTTAGATGTTTATAAAAAACCATGACACTCACTTCCGTTGGTCTGTCTGTCTGTCAGCCTGCCTTTCCGCTCGATAATCTTACGTATTATGAGACATATTCCATAGACTTCTCCGTAAATTTGTCCTTAAAACTTAATTATGTTGATATGTTTTCGGTATACGCATGCCGTACAATTCAACCCGCGTACGTCTGTCAGCTGAAGAATGACTGAGCGATGGTGCGTGTATCCGCGTATGCAATTGACTAATTGTTTGAGCTTGTTTGACTGACATGATCTATTAAATGCCTTTGTTATACATGTTCGAACCCAAGCTTTTTTAAGAGGGACTAACAGCGTTGTGTACCAAATGCAGAGTCCACCTACTTTACACCATTTTTCAAGCCACGAACAAAATGAGGCTCTAATTTTGGAAACTTGTCTCTAACAATAATATAGGAACTGAGCCCCATTTGGCCTTTTTTGACGTCTCCGGACATTAAAATCATCAAGACCAGAACTGAAATCACAATATTCGACAAGTCCATACCTATTACCAAAACTTCAAAGCAAAATTACATTTATTCTCTCCAAAAAGACATTCTCAAAATCTGCTTTAATTCTTAATTGCGCATAGCAAACATGATAAAACCACGAGCAAGTTTACTGCTCTGTGAATAGCGTTTTCCAGACACGTCCTGAAAATCCAAGACCTGGAAACACCTTCGCTAAAGCGCCAAACAAAAAGATTTTGAGCCGGTGGCATTATAGTGGAAAACTTGGAGCGTAGTTTTCCGCCAACCAGCATGGGAGAAAAGCGGGAATTCAAGTCGCTTTATGGAGTCTATTTAATATTTCCGGGACAGGCCCGGATCTGCCTCGAGCGCAATCTAATGAAGTTGTGTCATGATATTCAGAATCAAATTAGCAATAACATACCAACAAAATATAGAATAGATGCGATATAATCAATACGTGTAAAAATGATGTTTACTCCTAAAAGCAAAAAAGTTATACACTTTCAAAGCTGCGGCCCGCAAAAACATTTTCGTAACTTCTGAATGCGACGTGTAACGTCACAGGTCCATTTTTAAAATAAACGTTTGTCTAATACCCAAGGGGAGATCATTCCTCAAACGGTACTTAATTCTCAATTACAGTCTATAAATCCTTAGATGAAAGATCATTTGAAGGACAAATACGTAAATTCAAATAACAACCACCATTTGTGCAGCAAAGCAGAAAAGGAATCGGCACGAGATTTTACATAGGAACCAACTTTCAGAGGAGGTCATAAATGGTGAAATTAGTAGATCGTAGTTGTTATATGAATTTACGAGGTCATAATCTATGTCACTTGATTCCTCTTTTAATTTCCTGAAACTTTTGTAAGACCCTTCTTCCAAAAAAATGCATGCTGGCTAAGTTTTCGGTGTGCTCGGGAATTTAATAGACACCGAGCATGCACAATTTCACTTTAGTCAGATCCGTCAGAAACACTACAAATATGGTAAACGGTCCCATTGAGTGTGCTTAATATACCTAATAATATTGTTGTTACAACTGAAAGTATTACTTAAAACTTGCTTTCCGTAAAACATACATGATATTTTCAGCAACAAACATATTCAATTACTATTGGAATACAGACCAAGCAAACTTTATGTAATTTTGATTGATTTCGTCCCTGTTGCAAGGAGTAGAACGAAAAAGTTTGTGTAAAATAAATATCGTTAACAGTGTTTCTCTTCTGTTCCAGACATTCTGGGTGCACAAACAGTTTCAATAATGCTCAACGGTGAAGAGTCGGAGTTGACTTTTCAGAACACAGCCAGCGTTAAGGTAAGAAGGGATGAAATGCCACTCACAAATAATGTCACGAACATAAAAGGATCTTTTTATACAGGGTGTTCCAGAAAGTCGTGCCAATATTTCTAGGGTAGAAAGTATATTGGTCCAAAGATGCTCCCCTTCCGAAATTGAGAAAATTATATCTACAGAGCGGGTAAAGTTACTGCGTTAAGATTCTAGACGTTCAGTGAACACATCAGAAGCAATAAACATACAGAGTTTCCCGCCCCAAAATATATCAGGGACGTGTAAACTGGGGTACCTAGACCCCTAATAGGAAATCCTCTCTATGCCACTGGAGTTTTTGTCAGATCACTCATTTTGGAGATATTTAGGTTTGAAAATTTGAGGTAAGATCCTAAAATACTTTCATGAAAAGGTTTAGTCTCCCCTATTCTCTAAACACCAAGAAGCTTGATGTTGTGAACACTATACAGCATGTGAAGGGAGATATAAACTTACCTGTATCTCTGTAGGAAAGTTTCTTTGGACCCATATTTATAGGAACATGTTTTTTATTTTACATGTACTTTCTACCCTAGAAATATTAGCACGTCTTTTCTGAAACACCCTGTATACAAAAATGCGTATTGCGTTGTCAAGACTTTTTCAATTTTTTTTTGTACTCATTTGAGAAGATGCAGTAAAAGAATTAATTCATACATATTGTTGATGAACAAAATTCTACTTGATAAAAGATTATAATAGGGGAAGGGAAGGTAAAACGGCACACTTTAGAAAAATAGTCATAGTTACAAAATCAACAGTTTTATTCATGAAACTCTCTCATAAAACTAAACATTATTTCTTATTCTACCGCATAAATTGTTTAGACTTCAAACAAAACATACGAATAACAAGATATTAGATTATTACCAATAATTTGGTTTTTGTCCGTTCTGCCTATATGTGAAGGTAAAACGGACTGCCGTTCAAGGCAAAATGAAACTAAGATTCACATCTTTGACAAATGAATCTAGCGTCTTCGTCTTCCTAGTCAACAACAAATTAGAGTGTGCCCACATGTTGCATATTTGACACTCTATCCAGCCTTCGTTGGACTATGAGAGCAATAAAAACACTGCATCTTCATTTTCTTCATCTGACAAATCTCTTTCTTTTCCCTTGAATTTGCCCTTAGCTCTGCCCTTGCCTTTGCTTTTCTTGAATATTTGCTATTTCTCTTTTGATCTGATTCACTTTAATGTTTTGTGTTGTCTCGGCTACCTCTCTACGGTAGGGGAATGAAATCAATATGACTGTCTTTCCGCGTTTAAGATTCGATCTCTTCGTTTTTGAAGTTTTTGGAAACGGCATAAATAAACTGATTTTCCAATGAAGTCGGTTAGGTTCATCTACTGATGACGACGACTGAGTATCAAGAATCATTTCCGTTACATCAGACTCCATTGGAGGTGGAAGATCTTCTCTTAGTGTGATTTGATGTTCATCATCATTGATTGGCGTTTTTCTTGTCATCGGTATATAAAATTCTTGCTGAATTCCAGATGTTGGTGGCTGAGGATCTTCAATGATTGGTATTTTATTGGATTCAGATAAGGATTGATGTGGTTTATCGCTAGTTGCTGATGGTTGCGCGTTATCATTTACCAATTTTTGATTAGTCGTTGTCAAAATGGACCAGTTGCCCGGTAAGTTTTTCCTTTTGGTTAGTTCTGAAAACAAACTATAGTCTTGAGGTTATGGTTTCACCGATCTGATGATGTTCATTCTCAAAACAAACAATACCTATCAGTGATTGATATGAACACACTACGTTAGTGATTTGAAAGGCTAGATAAAAGTGACAACTAAACGAAATTCCAGTTTTTTAGCAAATAGAAGCACTGACCGAAAGCAAGAGATAGCTCACTGGCAGCTTACCAAAAGAACTGACAGATGGAGTTAGTAGTTTCAAAAATAAAAGACTGTTCCGCTGTATCTTATGGTGCCGTTTTGCCTTACTTTCCCCAGAATTATTTTCAGTAGCCTTTAATAGTTAAATTATTTAGTAGATACACTTGGAAAGTTGAGTGGAAGTTTTAAAAAGTTGAAATATATATTTCGACGTTCTATTTCCAAGTTCTACTCCCTAGAAAAAATATTGTAAAATGGATATTGTTAAAACCTCATTTCGAACGCCATTTTACTAAAATGACGATACAAGCGACAATAACATGAGATCGCAAGCTCGAAATTAAGAAAGAAACACCTCAGAGTATTTAGAAGCAGTGATTTTAGAAATATCCCAAGCAATACCACGCTGTCATGAAACCAATGAACGATACCCCATACAGTGTAACGCCTGAAACTTAACATGCTAATGATCATCCATGTTTGTCTGGCGCTTGTCCCTTTAGGAGGCTGGATGTCTTTTTTGGGAGCGGGAATTCCCACACCAGGCGGTCCTGGCCTTTGCTGGTTTAGCGCCTTAAAATTGCATTGATGGCTTCGCCCAAGTTCAGCATGTTACAGGACCGTTTAGACGGCTGCAGTAACACACTGTATAGGAATGTGAAGAAGAAAAGAGCAAACGAACTGTCACCTGAAAGACAAAGAAAATATATTGTCATCTAAATTGTCATTTGTACTTGGAAAGGGCTACCGTGGTAGCCGAAACGTCGTGTCAGTAGATAGGAATTCAAACACATGTGGCTTCATTTAGCGGCCAGACAAACATGGAAGACTAATGCTCCACCCATTGGTGTAATATTTGCCGCGAAAGTACGCATCCTACAATAAACCTTTTTAGTATTCAGACTGTAAGATGTTTCACCTGATTTTGTTCTCGTGAAGCTATATTTACCGTAGAAAGTGTCATATAAGATTCATTTTCAAACTACAAAATAATCATGGTCAGCAAACGTGTACTATGAAAATCCAATTTTACTCATACAAAGAATCCATTGAACTGCACTAAGCTGAACATTATTCGTAGTCAGACTGAATTTTCCCATATTCAAGCATTTTCAACTGATGATATTCTAGTGATTTCAATTTCGATCACCATGCATCCGCAAAAAAACGTTTGTTTCGTGTTTTTATTTCGCGTGTGTAAATGCGCCCATTCACTTACTTTTGCAAACTTGAAGCTTTGATTATCATCCTCTCATCTTGCACGGATCTACCAATCATATTAATTGTCCTATTTATTTTTGATCCAGAACATTTTGAAAAGTCATTTGCGTATGAAAGGCAGACATTCTATTGGATGGCTCTTCCATATTCCAAAGCAGGCAAGAGAACAGTGTTACCGTCTAGCGTTCTCACATTAGTAAGGCAATCATGAAATAATCCCAAACTCAATATCTTCTAAGTCAAATTCACTATACACTATAGCTAATAGTATAAAACATATAAAAATTCAGTATAGTTTTTCGGCGCAGTTTCATAGTATCGTATGTGCAGTGGCGTAAACATAAATTAAATATCAGTTTATCCAAACTCCAAACTTTTCCGACGGGATAACTAATCTCGATCCCTCATATTTATCATTCAAGTGCCAGAGCTCTGGTGGTGGATGACAAAAAATATTAAAGGGATGACAGCAGAAATCCAAAAGATGATATATGTGACGTCTCTTAGCTTTCTTATAACATATAAGATTTTCCCTATTATGAAAATTCACATCCGTGAAGGTAGAAGGGCGGTCCTAAGTTGTATTTCCTCTTTGGGGAGATCGTTGAACCTTCAATACCGCGACACAGATTGCCTTACTTGTGAGAATACTGAATTGTTTACGAGAATCTTTGGGACAAAATGTTATCTGGTAATATAAGCATGTTTTCATATCGTTGACTTTGAGCGTTAAAAAAACGTCGTATTTTTTAATACCTTTTGTTTCTTCTTCGTGTTGGAAGCAATGATAGGTCTGTGCCTAACACGCAAAAAAAGCCCTACATTACACACATTAAATATTCACCTAGGGTTTTGCCATTGTGATTATTTATGCAAGGGAAGAAATGTAACTCCGCATCATAGAATGGTGATTTTAAGGTTAGTAGTGCAAAAAGCTTTTCTCCCCAGTTCTGCAAAGAACCTGCATGACAGAAGTAGGGTCACATTAAAAGTACAGGACGTGCGATCACAACTTGGTCAGGAATTTGACGTTTGTACTTTGGAGCTCCCTTACAAACAACACCAAACATTTTTTGTAAAATGCCCCTCTGTAAAATAAAATGCATATCGACCACATGTAAGGGTATTGATAAGAGGTGCTTCTAGGTGTCGTTTACTTTTCTCCAAGTCATTTTTTTTGGCATCGCTGGCAAGAAATTCTTAGCTGGTGCTAGGAGAAATAACACCTTGTCCCAAAGCTTCGCTGTACGTGTGTTCCGTCTCCTCTAACGAATTCATAAATTCCAACCTCTGACTCAGTCTCGAATTTTATAGGAAGTTGACAAATCCCATCCTCCAGATGCATTCGTGGTACTCTATTCTGTGGTGGACAAGGCTAGTTTCTTGAAAGCAGAAGCAGAACTGAACAGGCTTCAAGATGCCGATTTGCTGAGGTCACGACCTGCTATACTTGTTGGAAACAAAATTGATTTGGCAAGAAGCAGAGCCGTGTCTACACAAGGTAGGTGATTCTATACGTATATTACTCGAGTTTTGAAGAATCGTTTCATTCGTGAACAAGTCGACCTGAAATAACTTAGTGAAATAGGCAACAGTATTTTTTGATAAAAAAATGGAGCGGATGTGAAGAACCAGTTTTCTCAAGTACATATCAGACAATTCTATTATTCAAGTGTTTAGTTACTAAGTAGATGAGTCAGAACGGGATTTCAGTAAGGTGCAATATCTCTTTTTCAATATTGCACCCCGTTAGGAACAGCAAACTGATCCAAGATGCGGAGCTACTATTATCTTGAATAATGCAACTACTCATCTGATAATCAAGTTCATTAATTAGTGGTATATTAGTCATCAGTAATTACATTAACCTGTTACAATACGCTTCATTATAATTATGAACTAAATCATAGACAGCGTTCAACTAGAACTTGATGATACTTTCCAACACTAACATACCAAGCTTTGTTGAACCTTTGCTGTTAATCTTATAAAGTATGTTACTAGAAGTATTATACAGCTTATGCACCATCAGCATCCAAGGCAGTATTAAGTACTGACCATGCTACGCAAACATTGACGTATTATACAAGAGTTGCATAAGCTAAGTGCAGTCTAGTAGTCATAGTAGTAGCAGTGGTGAAGAGGCAACTGATGCGTACCTTTTTTTTAATTAAGTAAGTAAAATAATTGAAGTTATGGAAATTTACCTTAATTTAATTTCTCCTTTGGCCCTTTTTGGCGAGCCCGTAGTACCACGCGCCATTTACAAGTGATATAATAAACCAGTTTCGTGATGATATGTACCTGTTAATATTGCACCACGCGCGTGATCCAGACCACACAACATCCATGGCAAGCAATTAACCTCCAAGGCGGAGATTAGAAGCCGCGGGCCTCGGGCTGCTAGCTCGACGCGCTGATCACCCAACTACCGAAGCTCCCTATAACGAATCATATAAAATGATATTTCATGTTTTTTAGCAATCATCAATACGGTGTAGATCTAGTAATTAGGAAACCTGTCACGGAAAAAAAAACAAGCAAATATGAGTCTACTTAGTGTCGTTTATTTTTGATTACTAAAAGGCATAAAGGAACATTGTACATGGTCGCAGAGACGGAAAGCTAACACTCCTATTCAGACCGTAGGCAGTGCAAATGGCATATAATCATCACATTTATATTGATTGATACCCTCTATAATTCTTAAGTTGTACATTATTAATGGAAACATACTGTATCAATCATGAAATATTGCACATGTTTCAGATGGGAAATGCCTAGCCTGCACATACAGAGCGAAGTTTATAGAAATATCAGTGGGCATCAACCATAATGTAGACGAACTACTGGTAGGCATTTTGACCCAAATCAGGCTGAAGGTACTCAACTACGAAGATGGAGGCCATAATCCGCAATGGTAAGTCTAGGTTGAGATAGGCATGTCCACCGTTTCTAATATAAATTAAGAATTTAAGGAAAAAACAGAGAAGAAATCGTCACGTGTAGGAACGAACCCATATTCTAAGAGAACGCTTTGACTACCTGGCTTCGGTGATACCTAGAATGGGGGAGATCGTGAGTTAGTTCAAATCTTGCCAGGGGCGATCTTTTTATGTTTTTTGAGTACAGACTTTACGTCTGTTTTATGAATGGAGTTTTATTTGATAAAACAATGTTTCCACATGGTTGCTGCAGGTTTTCGGATGCCCTCATTCTAGTTTGACTGAATATAGATTTCGAGCTATTCAATCTATACTGAGGTTATGGAGAATGGAAGAAGGATTGCACAGCGCGCAGTACGTCGTCAACGAATTTGATAACCTTCATCATGGGTTACAGTCGCTGACTGATCTATGCGTTCTTTCAGCGTGCCAAAGATCATCAGATCAATTACCATCGCCGGAAAAACGCTCTTGCTGTTTTTTGCCTTTTCAGTTCACACATCGATTTTTTTGTTCTAGGTACAAAAGTAGGGGCATGGTGAAGGCGAGCATGAAAGCCAGACAAATGTTCACGTGGCTTTTCGGCAAGGAAGACTCAAAATTCAAGAATTGCGAGAACCTGCACATCCTATAGCACCCAAAGGAACCGTCGAATTGTTCGGTTGTGTGAAAATTTCTGTTGCCAAATTGATGAGGAGGCACTACCTACTTCAACTCTACCATGTTGGTTTCTCTTTAGAAATGAATTTAACTAGACCTTCAGATTCCTTGTTGTGAAGTAGATAGAGAGGCCCCTCAGATTGAGAAAGATGCTTTTTTGGAGCGTCTTTCTCTCAATGTCGTATATGTACTGTTTGCATTCTGTGATAAGATCGCGAGGTCCAGTATAGTGGTTCCAGTAGCACGTTATTAATATTTTACGAATCTTCTAATTAAAAAATGATTTATGTTGATGTATGTAGTTCTTCTGTACTTCTTAGCGCAACAGTATTTCTAACAAACAACATTCTAAAGTTCCAAGTATTCTCTGAGCGCACATATTTTGGCCAAAATTTTATTGCAAAGTTTGTATTTTAGATTATTCGTTCTAGACAGTATTAACGTGCTTTTGTGGTAATCGATGTTGTGACAAACGAACATTATACTGCTTCTTTTGATCTTAAAAAATGCAAGGCAGTAATGATAAATTTGTATTCCACCAGATGTTAAAAAACACCTAATGTTTGATTGTTATCGTTATTAATATTTCCCCGGTTTATCAAATATCCGAATTACAATACATGACCAAATTTTTTTACACCCCAATCATAATCAAAAGTTTCGTGTTTCACTATACTGTAGTTACATTTCTTCCATAGGATATTGATGCTGGAATTGGAAGTATTTGATTATCTTCAAAAACCTAAAATCTCAGGATGAAACGTGAAAGAAAAAGAAAATCAAGCCTGTAAGAGCTCTGACATTATCTGTGATCCATGAGTTCTATGTGATTTTTTGTAGAGCAACGACCAAAAATTAATATCAAAATCCATATAGTCTTTCGAAAGCTCTAGTTTAAGTTGAAGTTAATAGTTTCTTTAGCTTTTGGGTTTTTGAGATAATGAAAATATTTGTGCCTGATAATATAACGCATGGTATTTTGTGAGATTTGAAAATATTAGTTTTTATCGACTGATTTACTAAAAAAACAAAGAAATATTTTTTCTATGCCTTAGGAATGGTAAGTGATAGTGAATTGTGAATAATATACTTATAGTATGACAGACAATGTAATATTTTTGTCTGTGTAATAAATGTATATCAAATTATTCATCGTAGTCTTAAACTGTTACTTAGTAAGGAACTTTCTGAGTTCTTTCATGAGGCCTAACCTAGTTTTCTTCTGATGTACGAACAGTATCAGTTTCGAGTATTGTAGAACATAACATGTTACTAAAACAGTTTGTGTTGGTCAAGAATGGGCATTGAATAGCATATACTCCGGCTTGAAAGGGTCGTTTGAAATGTTACGTTGGGCATTATACGGAACATTTTTTCGATTTTTTACATATGTTAAATTTTTATTTTGTATCCTGGTCTGATTCTTTGTCTTGGTTGCCAGTTTCAGTTTCTTATTGCCAATTCTATAGCCTTGCACGAACACTGAAAAATTCTTGAAAATATCTATACTGGGGATTCAGAAAAATTGGCAATATTTCTAGCGTACCTATAAAGTAGTTCAAAAAATAATTTGGACAGTTCATATGAGCATGAGCACTATAATGGTCTCTTACACAGGTATAGGGTGCTGAAATTATAATTTTGAAATCGAAAAAAATATATCTTCTCAGTGGATTAAAATATTGACAAAAAATTCTGTACATGTAGTATTGACATAATAGCCAATACATACAGAAAATATTGCTTCTGAGTCTACATCAGTGATGTAGAAACTGGAAAATTTAGACCCCTACTCGAGAAAGAAGGAAATAATTTTCTGACTTTTTTAGAACATCTCTATAGCATTTTTGAATAAGGTATTTAATTTCTGTCAGACTGGAGAAAAAATGGTTTGAATCCTTGAAATAAAATCGTCAATTTGAAAATACGCTGAGGTTGATAAAAAATTGTATCTAATGTTTTAGGAGAGTAATCACCATAGCGTTGATACTCATGTTCTGTCCTGATTCAGTCTCATCAGTGGTTTAGAAATTATCAGCACCCTGTATCTTGGTAATGGAACATTTTTGGAACATAGGCTCACGGGAACTTTCTACCCTAAAAATATTGCCACAATTTCCTGTATCACGCACATATTTTGTCCCTCGCCGAGCAAGCACGATGACTAGAGATAGGAGGTTAAACTCACAGAGTGGGGGTGAAGTCAGAAATGGCAACCATAAAGTACGTTAGTACACTACGCAGGGATAAATTTCAGGTGTTGCGTATAAAGCATCTCTCTCGTGTGTGCCCTGCGCAGAATCTAAAATTGAAGTTTTGTGCATGTGGCATCTCTCTCTCTCTCTCTCTCTCTCTCTCTCTCTCTCGCCCTCTCTCTCTGTGTGTGTGTTGCTGTCATCATGACTGTAAACAAGTCCAATTTTGACAGTTCGGACGAGTTGCAAGCAGAAATATTGGGCAATGTTAATAAACCAAGTAGTAGTGAACCTACAAATCATGTTCTATGCCCACTAGATTTCCGAGAGCCACACCATACTGGGCGACAGGATTGGCTTCATATGAATACGTGTATCTCTTACGTAGTTTAAATTCCTATATCTAGTCTTCCTACGATCAAGTTACAGCAAGAAAGAAAATAACAAAGTTATTAGTGGAGTTTTTGTCCAGAGTGTATCGCTACAAAATTATTGACCAAGTTATGTCAAAATCCATTCTATATGACTAACACAGAATTAATTATATGTATATTATACATTTCTATATGTATACACATATACTGGGTATCAGTAGAAGTAGAAATATATTCGACCAACATGTTTTCTACCTATATAACATACTATACAATCTTTCTGATATACATGTTTATCAATATTTATATCCATTTCTTATTTATGCCATTTTAACGGACATTATGTATGTTGTAGTTATAGTGATTTTTTTTCATTAGATAATTTTTCTACGTGAATGTATCTTCTATACTTTTGACAATAATTGTTGTATGTTGTAAATATATCTTTGTAAATAACAACAGAGTTTTATTTCCTTGTCCATAACTGATTCAGTTTTTCAGCAGCTTGAAAGTATGGCTTATTTCTACAAAATCTTTATTTTCACCCCCTGTTGTTATATAAGAGTAGGTATGTGCGGCTCCAGAGAAATATTTTCAAAAATGCCTATGCGATGACGTTGGTGGGCAATAAAGTCACCATTGAATTCTATTCAGTCTCTGATCTGTCATGTCGGCATCCCTGAGATAATTGATCATATCGGTTATTATTGAAAATAATTTTCCTCAAAAACTATTGTAGCTAAATTAATACAATTAAAAGGATTTGTTAGAACTTCGTCGCTCTATATTATATATTTTTTGGATTTTTTATTATATCTACTAGAAAAAGCAATAAAGATGAAAAAATACAATGTCGCTTAAATTAGGGCAAAGTAGCGTGTTTCGATAACCAACAACATGCCGCTTAGAAAGATTCGAAATTCAAAGTACTTCCGAAAAAAAAACGAATTTTCCCAAAATCGTTTTAATCTTCATCCGGCTTTAATTGTAGTGGGATTTCAAAATAAATTGCTCATTAACATTGCCACTTTTTCTTATATATAAGATGGCATAAATAGAATCCCAATATGACGTTTCGCATGGCGTCCTCCACCATCATCTTTATTTTTTCTTATGGACGCCATATTGGTATTTTGCGCAGATGAATAGAGTTTTTAATTCTCATCTGGTATGGGAAACAAATGACAATCTGATCATTTCAAGGCCTACTTAGAAAATTCTATTTTATTTTTGATTAACTGCGGTTTGGCTACGTCAATATATGACGTATTATTTATTTTTGGAACCATAATTTAAAACCTTATCATCTCTGTACAAAAATTCAATATGGCATTCATAAGAAAAAATAAATCTGATCCTCGAGAACAAGGGACAAATGTCGTATTGGAATGCCATCTTGTAGAGGGGAAAAAGTAGCAATGTTAATGTGCAATTAAAGTCAGCCAAAAATAATTTCGGTAAAATTATCATTCTCAGGATTAGTAGTGTGACACACCATAATCACCGTCGTCATCTTCATTCGTATCTATGGACTCAATGCCGATAAGAGCACTACTATTTTGAGGATTGTCCGCAGTAGAAATCGACACAAAAGCATATCACATCACTTATTGAGATGGTCTTATTAAAACAATAAGTTTAGTCACCGGTTCAGCTTCAGGTTTAATAGTTTGTTCAACTTATCGTCTTTCCGCAAAAACTAATTACAGTTTTTACATCTACCTAACATATTTTACGCATAATAACTAACTCAGACACGAATACTTACTTTATAAAAAAACACATAAATATTCACTGAAACAGTTCACACACAATAATGCAGTCGGGCTATTAAACAAGAAACTGTTATGAATCCCACAACCAGCTAAAACGCATCTTTTTACTTGTGTTATTGATTCAACATAGCTGGCAATATATTTCCCATACTTTTGATACCCTATAAATATATTATTTAAAATGTAGAAAAAATACTATGTCACACTTTTTTGAAATAATTGTATTTGGCCACATATCAATTCGTATTATTAGTTCTCTGTAGAGCCGAATATAAAATACAACTAAAATTCAAAAGATTCATTGTATTCATGTAGATTTACTACACTTTATATAAATGTGCGGTGTGCGCCAAATTCATTTGAACGAACTTTTTGCACTGATAGAGGTCATAGTAAGTAACACTATACATATAGCATTTCTACGAAAAACTACGAAAAAAATTTTTGAATCTTGAATTCTTATTTTTTAATAGTAAATCTAATTCAAATATTCTGAAAAAATGATATCATATAGAGCCAAAGGGTCAGGGGCTGAATACATGTAAATGGTGACATTATTGCTTACCGATGTCATTACATAGTCTATTTTGAAAATATCTCTCTGGGGCCGCTGATCCTACCTACCTTATTCTGCTAGATCCAGTAGTTCAACCAGCACCAAACTGATATCGGAACTAGAATCTACACACCCGGCTGACTTTAAATTCGAGTTTTCATCTTAATCACAGAAACGCAGAATAATTTCCAATTACTTACTAGATTTCTTATGATACTCCAACGTTATGTCCAATGCAATCAATCTCGTTATATCATAATCATCAATACACCTCAAAAAATTGTACGTAGGTGGGGAATCTGATACATATGTACATATGCACATCTGTATGTTTCAGCTGAAATGGACATGGGCATGTTTGCTTTCCATCCATCTAACCATAACCAACCACCGACAGCGCTGTTTCGGGCCCACCAGCTACTCATCAGTTGCATCAACCATTGGTAGGTGCCGATCGACAGATTTCCCACATACTTGCGCTCAGTGAGGTTTTTTGAAAGATCATTCTCAGTTGTTTATCTCCAAGACTATACCTAAGACCCCGTATCTAAAAGTTGGTTTGGGCGGGTATTACATTTGAAACTAGGACAGTTTGGTTACCTTACCTAAGAGAAGCCATGAGATCGATTTATCTCCCGAAGGACAGTACCCATATTGATTATAATTTAACAAGGAGGAATATCGTCGGTCAACCCAGATCTAGAATTGGTTTTAGGACAGTTTTGCATCACTAGTCGCCAACAAGCCATGACGGTTTTCGTCAACTGAAAAAAAACATTTAGATCTTATACCAGGATAACACTACCTAGCCTAACGTTAGAAAAACAGAAAACAGAGTCAAGTTAAACAAAAGGCCTAACTAGAAGTTTGAAGTCAAAGAAGGAGTCCGCCAGGGAGGTCCACTGTCTTCGCTGCTGTTCAATATTGTGCTCGATAAGACTATACAAGAAGCCAACATAAGCAGGACTGGTCTGATGAATTTCAAAAAGCATTTGCTGACAACCTAATGATTCAGGCCAGGAATAAAGCCGAAATTATATTTATCGTAAAAGACTAGAAGAACTAGCAGAAAGTACGAAGCAGGGGACTATACAAACATAAATGCAGAAAAGGCAATACGTATAAAGAAATTAATGGCCGTTTTAAAGTCAGCAAGATGCAGGAGAAATTTTGATAAAACGCAAGAATGCTAATAAAGCAGGCAGTTCCTTTTGTCATTTTCTTTCAACTGCCAGGTCCTGCATGATACTATGTGATCAAAAAGTAGTAAGACAAATTGTTTTAAATTTTCTGGGCATTAGGAATCGGGCATTTTTTTCCTTAAGTTGGTAATAGGACCTTAACTGACGTCTATGTCAAATTTTGACACCGTCAGTAGTTAATGAGGCACGCGTGTTTTCAGTCGACAACAAAATAACATTTTTCGATTTTTACAATGACAAAAAATTCAACAAAAAAGTTGCATTAAATTTTGTTTTAAAAATTGTGTTTCGGCTACCCAAACATTTGATCTGTTGAAAAAAGCATTTGGTGATAATGTTATGTCGAGAGCCAGTGTTTTTGATCGGTTCAAATTATTCAAAGAAGGCAGAGAACATGTTGAAGACAATGAGCGTCCTGGTCGCCTATCCACGTCTACGATGAGAACCACGTCAACCAGATCAAGAATTTAGTGCTCCAAAATCGTCGATTGATAATTAGAGACCTTGTCGACATCACCAACCTATTATTTGGTTCAATTCAGTCGATTTTGGAAGACCAATTAGGTCTGAAGCGCGTCTCATCTCGTTTGGTACCGAAAGAACTCAATTTGTTCGAAGGTCGTCGTGTTAGTGTCTGTGAAACTATGATTTCTGACTATCATAACGTCATCAACCACAATGTTACTGGAGATGAGACACGGATTTATGCATACGATCCTGAAACTGAGAACCAATCAAGTGAATACCGTGCCAAAGGAGAGCCGAGACCGAAAAAAACACGCCAAAGCAAGTCGAAGATGAAGGTCAAGTTGACAGTTTTCTTTGATTATCGAGGCGTGGTGCATTACGAATTCCTTCCGCCGGGCCAAACTGTTCTGTTCTGTATGCTGATATAAATACTTTTCATAGAAAAGGTACAAAACGATAAGAGATGGCTGACAAAAATTATAATTTTCAATTTCCAGCCCTGTAACGTTTTGCTTGATGTTTGTATAAAACGCTTACTCTCCAAAAATCGTATTTAAATGCGTCGTGGAAACTAGAAGTACTCCATTCTATTGATGTAGTATGGGGTATAATATGCGATAGCCCATCAATTCGGTTGCAAAGAATTCACCACAGAAGAAAACTACCAGTTGTTCTTAATGATTAGCATGCGGGATCTTCTCGGGTGACCAAAAAACTAGAAACTCCTCCCTGGCCAACGAATGTCCCAGTCCGAGAAATTAAATAACAAAAAATTGGATAACTCATGACTCCATCTGCCAGTTTCTTTGAGCCCCAGCCGAGGTAGACCTTAAGTTATGTTATATTAGCGGTATAGTAGCGCTAGAGTTACCTTGAGAATTTTACAAGGCAAGAAATTTCACTTGTTAGTGTATAGTCGGCTGTAACGAAATGAAAGACAAGCTGACACCAAGATCCCAATGTTCACCGCAAAGTTTCGGAGTCTGTCTTGGTTGATGTCCATTATTGCCTTTACTAGGTTTAGTAATGTCTGCATCGTCTGCTCAAGTAAAGTTACTTTCTTTCTGTCACAATTTAATACTGTGTCTGAAAGTGTTCAATTTTTTCTTAAGCTATTCCAGAAATGGTTTTATTAACTTTGTGAACACATACGGAGTATAATTTACCCTAAGCGGTACAGCATTGTATTGGAAGAACTATCGCTTGAATATGAATCTGAAATATAATCTATCACTCTCCCTAACGAGTACCAAAATCCCTGCATATTCCAAATCCAGATTTGTTAAGAAAGTATCTCTATGGAGCAGTCTGATCCCAGTTCAATAGCATAGACTTAAG